GTTGTTGCTAATATTAACGTGTTGTTCAATTTAGAGATAGGTATAAACGAATGGTACTAAACTGCCTCACAGTTAGACCGTGTATTCTGTGGTACATTTTATTATTTTAATTATAACCCTATACAAGTATGAACAAAATGATTGTATAAACCAATCAACCAATTAATGATCTTTTCAATAAATGATCTTTTCAATCAGCTCATCAACCCATCATTCTATCGGACAACCATCTATTAAACTAACAATCAATTAATCAATCAATCAATCTATCTATCTATCAATTAATCAATTAATCAATCAATCAATCAATAATCAACCAATAATAAACGAACAATCAATCAATCATTCAATCAATCAATCAATCATTGTCAGTCAGTCATTGAATGAAAAAGGCATAGATGTGCTTCAGATGAATGGGTATGAGATTTTTTAATTCATTCAGTAAATCAATCCTTATATAAAAATATAAGGACAACAATATATTATTATTATTATTATTATTATTACTACTATTAATATTATTATTGTTGTTATTATTTTTTTTATTATTATTATTATTAAATAATTTATGGTTTTGATGATAACAGTGATGAAAGCGTTTGTTTGTTTGTTTGTTACATTTAAATGCGTGCGTATGTATGTATGCATGTGTGTATTGTATATATATGTATATATGTGAGTATGCATGTATGTGTTTGTATGTGTGTGTGTTTGTGTGTGCTTGTGTGTATTGATTGATTTATAATGATTTTTTTTAGTTAAAAATTTTATCACACAGCAATAATAGCGAAAAGCACAAATAGCAACAATAATAATATTAATAATAATAATATATATAATTATTGTCAAAATATATTATAAGTGCTAACAGTAGTATTTGAAGAAAATTGAACAAAAATACAGAATGTTGAATACACAAATTATACATGATCTTTGCATCTTTATAACAATCACAAAAAGCTTCTGTGGTATTATTAATAATTCTCCGTCCCCCAACTAACCGAGGTTGGCAGTGGCTGAACGTAATCCGGGTTGATGTACTGAGCGGGACCTAACATGGCGTACGATGATGACGTCGATGATGGCGTAGATGGTGACCTAGGTGGTGGCGTAGATGGTGACTTTGTTGATGACGTCACTGATAACCAAGGTGATGATTCTGATATTGCTGAGGAGAATAAAGA